GGTGGGAGTGGTGGTGGTAGTGGTGGTGGTAGTGGTGGTAGTGGTGGTGGTGGTAGTGGTGGTCGTGGTGGTGGTAGTGGTGGTGGTAGTGGTGGTAGTGGTAGTGGTGGTGGTGGTCGTGGTGGTGGTAGTGGTGGTGGTAGTGGTGGTGGTAGTGGTGGTAGTGGTGGTAGTGGTAGTGGTGGTAGTGGTGGCAGTGGTGGTGGTGGTAGTGGTGGTGGTAGTGGTGGTGGTAGTGGTGGTGGTAGCGGTAGTGGTGGTGGTAGTGGTGGTGGTAGTGGTGGTAGTGGTGGTGGTAGTGGTGGTAGTGGTGGCAGTGGTGGTAGTGGTGGTGGTAGTGGTGGTGGTAGTGGTGGTGGTGGTAGTGGTGGTAGTGGTGGTGGTGGTGGTGGTGGTGGTAGTGGTGGTGGTAGTGGTGGTGGTAGTGGTGGTGGTAGTGGTGGTGGTGGTAGTGGTGGTGGTGGTGGTTGTGGTGGTGGTAGTGGTGGCAGTGGTGGTAGTGGTGGTGGTGGTAGTGGTGATGGTAGTGGTGGTAGTGGTGGTGGTGGTAGTGGTGGTGGTCGTAGTGGTGGTGGTAGTGGTGGTGGTAGTGGTGGTGGTGGTGGTGGTAGTGGTGGTGGTAGTAGTGGTGGTAGTAGTGATGGTGGTGGTGGTAGTGGTGGTAGTGGTGGTAGTGGTGGCATTGGGGGTGGTGGTAGTGGTGGTGGTGGTAGTGGTGGTAGTGGTGGTGGTTGTTTGCTTTTCTCTCCCTCCCTCTCAGCGTGAACACTCGTACAGTAGACACTCTGACCCTTCGGACATGGGGTGTTGTTTGACCATACTTCACCAGGCTGGTCAGTGCGGGCTGGTAGGCAATCATACACTCGGTCAAGTCATCCTGTCCCTCGTCACGCTACGAAGAGGACACGCGTCAAATCAGTCACTTTAATTTCACTTCTTTTGCACAATAGAACCATCATCATCATAATCTAACGTTGACATAATCATCATCATCATCATCTCCCTCTAGAGGCACGGGGAGAGGCGAGACGCGTACAAAAACGATCGTGGCCAATGCCACAGTAACGTCTGTAAAATCTAAAGCTAACAGCAACATTCATCAACTTCACAATAACAAGAACAACAGTGGTGGTGGCGGTGGTGGCAGTGATCACTCCGATAACGAATCAAAACTTGTGACGCGAGACTGGGATAGGAGGGGCCGCGATCTCGTGTCGAGTCTCAAACTCTTGAGTGGAGAGTCGCCGCCTCCCCACACACGACACAATCGGGCAGCAGCGAGTATCAAAACGGGATGGTTGGTGACCGCTCCGTATGCCACGGAGGGGTGGGGGGGGGGCACGTCTAGTGGAGGGTGCGCGATAGTCACTAAAGTGCATCAAGGAGAGACCAATTAGCTAGCGCAATTAGCCAGCCCCTCCACCACCCTGTCAATCAACCCCTCGGCGTTGGAAGGGGGCGACTTTGTCAGCAGGCCCCCCACTCTCTCACGCCCCCCAACTCCCCCACTCCCCTTGCCGAGCCCCCCCCCCCAACTCTCTCACGCCCCCCAACTCCCCCACCTCCCGCCCCCTTCGCCGCGACTCAAGGAGCGTGACGAGCAGCGGGGGCGGGACGCGACGAGGTGAAGAAGAAATGAGGGGAGCATGGGGACACACGGGGGGGGGGGGTGAGGGGAGCATGGGGACACACGGGGGGGGTGAGGGGAGCATGGGGACACACGGGGGGGGGGGTGAGGGGAGCATGGGGACACACGGGGGGGGGGGGGTGAGGGGAGCATGGGGACACACGGGGGGGGGGGTGAGGGGAGCATGGGGACACACGGGGGGGGGGGGTGAGGGGAGCATGGGGACACACGGGGGGGGTGAGGGGAGCATGGGGACACACGGGGGGGGTGAGGGGAGCATGGGGACACACGGGGGGGGGGGTGAGGGGAGCATGGGGACACACGGGGGGGGTGAGGGGAGCATGGGGACACATGGGGGGGGTGAGGGGAGCATGGGGACACACGGGGGGGGGGTGAGGGGAGCATGGGGACACACGGGGGGGGGGGGTGAGGGGAGCATGGGGACACACGGGGGGGGTGAGGGGAGCATGGGGACACACGGGGGAGGTGAGGGGAGCATGGGGACACACGGGGGGGGGGGTGAGGGGAGCATGGGGACACACGGGGGGGGGGGGTGAGGGGAGCATGGGGACACACGGGGGGGGTGAGGGGAGCATGGGGACACACGGGGGGGGGGTGAGGGGAGCATGGGGACACACGGGGGGGGGGGGGTGAGGGGAGCATGGGGACACACGGGGGGGGGGGTGAGGGGAGCATGGGGACACACGGGGGGGGGTGAGGGGAGCATGGGGACACACGGGGGGGGGGGGGGGTGAGGGGAGCATGGGGACACACGGGGGGGGGGGGGTGAGGGGAGCATGGGGACACACGGGGGGGGGGTGAGCGGAGCATGGGGACACACGGGGGGGGGGGTGAGGGGAGCATGGGGACCACACGGGGGGGGTGAGGGGAGCATGGGGACACACGGGGGGGGTGAGGGGAGCATGGGGACACACGGGGGGGGGGGTGAGGGGAGCATGGGGACACACGGGGGGGGTGAGGGGAGCATGGGGACACACGGGGGGGGGGGGGTGAGGGGAGCATATGGACACACGGGGGGGGTGGAGGGGGAGCATGGGGACACACGGGGGGGGGGGGGTGAGGGAGCATGGGGACACACGGGGGGGGGGTGAGGGGAGCATGGGGACACACGGGGGGGGGGGTGAGGGGAGCATGGGGACACACGGGGGGGGGGGGTGAGGGGAGCATGGGGACACACGGGGGTGGGGTGAGGGGAGCATGGGGACACACGGGGGGGGGGGGTGAGGGGAGCATGAGGACACACGGGGAGGGGTGAGGGGAGCATGGGGACACACGGGGGGGGTGAGGGGAGCATGGGGACACACGGGGGGGGGGGGTGAGGGGAGCATGAGGACACACGGGGGGGGGTGAGGGGAGCATGGGGACACACGGGGGGGGGGGTGGGGGGAGCATGGGGACACACGGGGGGGGGGGGTGAGGGGAGCATGGGGACACACGGGGGGGGGTGAGGGGAGCATGGGGACACACGGGGGGGGGGGGTGAGGGGAGCATGGGGACACACGGGGGGGGGGTGAGGGGAGCATGGGGACACACGGGGGGGGGGGGGTGAGGGGAGCATGGGGACACACGGGGGGGGGTGAGGGGAGCATGGGGACACACGGGGGGGGTGAGGGGAGCATGGGGACACACGGGGGGGGGGTGAGGGGAGCATGGGGACACACGGGGGGGGTGAGGGGAGCATGAGGACACACGGGGGGGGGTGAGGGGAGCATGGGGACACACGGGAGGGGGGGTGAGGGGAGCATGGGGACACACGGGGGGGGGGGTGAGGGGAGCATGGGGACACACGGGGGGGGGGGGTGAGGGGAGCATGGGGACACACGGGGGGGGGGGGTGAGGGGAGCATGGGGACACACGGGGGGGGGGTGAGGGGAGCATGGGGACACACGGGGGGGGTGAGGGGAGCATGGGGACACACAGGGGGGGGGGGGGTGAGGGGAGCATGGGGACACACGGGGGGGGGGGGGGTGAGGGGAGAATTGGGACACACGGGGGGGGTGAGGGGAGAATGGGGACACACGGGGGGGGGGTGAGGGGAGCATGGACACACACGGGGGGGGGGTGAGGGGAGCATGGGACACACGGGGGGGGGGTGAGGGGAGCATGGGGACACACGGGGGGGGTGAGGGGAGCATGGGGACACACGGGGGGGGGGGTGAGGGGAGAATGGGGACACACGGGGGGGGGGTGAGGGGAGCATGGGGACACACGGGGGGGGGGGTGAGGGGAGCATGGGGACACACGGGGGGGGGGGTGAGGGGAGCATGGGGACACACGGGGGGGGGTGAGGGGAGCATGGGGACACACGGGGGGGGGTGAGGGGAGCATGGGGACACACGGGGGGGGGTGAGGGGAGCATGGGGACACACGGGGGGGGGGGGGGGTGAGGGGAGCATGGGGACACACGGGGGGGGGGTGAGGGGAGCATGGGGACACACGGGGGGGGGGGTGAGGGGAGCATGGGGACACACGGGGGGGGGGGTGAGGGGAGCATGGGGACACACGGGGGGGGGGGGTGAGGGGAGCATGGGGACACATGGGGGGGGGGGGGGTGAGGGGAGCATGGGGACACACGCGGGGGGGGGTGAGGGGAGCATGGGAACACATGGGGGGGGGGGTGAGGGGAGCATGGGGACACACGGGTGGGGGGTGAGGGGAGCATGGGGACACATGGGGGGGGGGAGGGGAGCATGGGGACACACGGGGGGGGGGGTGAGGGGAGCATGGGGACACACGGGGGGGGGGGGTGAGGGGAGCATGGGACACACGGGGGGGGGGGTGAGGGGAGCATGGGGACACACGGGGAGGGGGGGGGGGTGAGGGGAGCATGGGGACACACGGGGGGGGGGGGTGAGGGGATCATGGGGACACATGGGGGGGGGGGGGGTGAGGGGAGCATGGGGACACCCGGTGGGGGGGGGGTGAGGGGAGCATGGGGACACACGGGGGGGGGGGTGAGGGGAGCATGGGGACACACGGGGGGGGGGGGTGAGGGAGCATGGGGACACACGGGGGGGGGGGGTGAGGGGAGCATGGGGACCACGGGGGGGGGGGTGAGGGGAGCATGGGGACACACGGGGGGGGGGGGGTGAGGGAGCATGGGGACACATGGGGGGGGGGGGGTGAGGGGAGCATGGGGACACACGGGGGGGGGGGGTGAGGGGAGCATGGGGACACACGGGGGGGGGGGGTTGAGGGGAGCATGGGGACACACGGGGGGGGGGGGTGAGGGGAGCATGGGGACACACGGGGGGGGGGGTGAGGGGAGCATGGGGACACACGGGGGGGTGAGGGGAGCATGGGGACACACGGGGGGGGGGGGGGTGAGGGGAGCATGGGGACACACGGGGGGGGGGGTGAGGGGAGCGCGTGGCTCCGCAGGGTCCCTGCAGCAGGGAAAGTGCTTTTGTTTCAACGCGAGGGCAGTCTGCCTTGTCCGACTGTCTCGTCTGACTGACTGACTGTCTGACTCGTCTGACTGACTGCCTGCCTGCCTGACTGCCTGACTGACTGCCTGACTGTCTGTCCGTCTGTCTAACCGGCTGTGTGTCTGTTTATCGACCCGCTACGCCACAATGTTGGAGCCCACTTTGGTCAGGAGTCGGTGGCCCCAAGATGTCTTGGACTGGATAGCCCCCTGATGTCGGCAGTCGGTGGTCCCCAGTGTTTGGAGTCATCATCCCCGAGGGTCAGAGTCGGCGTGCCTGGCGGCCGCTCACACGGGCTTCACGAACTGGTAGACGAGCCTCTGGGAGATCTCCGTCTTGCGGATGATGCCCTTCTTGTAGTACTGGCGGATGGAGCGGCTCAGCTTGTCGTAGTTCATGGCGGGGCGGTTCTTCCTGATGCCCCACAGTCGCGCCACCTCCACAGAGTCCTCGATCTTGAAGATGGCTGAGAGAGCGTGGGGGAGACGGGGGGAGCGTGGTATGATGAGGAGTGGGGGGGGCATGATTATTGATGTTGGGGTGAGGATGGGAGAGGCGGACCCGGAGCGCGAGGCATGCAATGGTGGAGGGGGCTGGGGACCGTTCTATTCGCGCTAAGCAGTGACACCTCGCACATCCAATTACACGGTTGGCTATGTACGGCGCGAAAGAAGTCATCAACTTCATTATCGCCAGCATCGTGGCCCATGCTACAACCTCTGCTGGATAGAGACCCCCTCTGTTGTTACAGGAATGTGAGTTGTCGCTGTTGTTCTGCGAGTGATAAAAAGGTGTAGAAAATCGATGTAACGGAGCACAAACTAATAAGACAATCATTTTCACGCCCAGCCCTTCCCTCTGTTGGGTGAGGCTCTCCGCATGCAGCAGCGTTGGTAACGCACCGCGCAGGTTGGTGAAGTGCGGGGGGTGGGGTATGGGGGGGCAGACGAGGTTCAGATGCCGCTCGCCACTGATGTTAGCCGTGGCTGGGAGTCGAACGCAGTTCGCCAGGGTTCGTGGCGCAGTGCAATATCCATTGCGACATCGCCCCCCTCCACCGCCAGCTGAAGATATACCCCTCGCTAAGACGCAGACAAATATTTACAAGTGCTTAACGTTCTCGCCCCCCATCCCCCCGGAGAATCAATAGGCGTAAGGCGAAGTGAATGAGAAGCAGACGGATAATGTTACTCGCCGAGCCGCGTCTGATCCGCACTGGAACCCAGCGAGGGCGGTGCTCTGAGAGATGCTGGAACCGCGTCTCACGACGCACCCCGAGCACGTGGTCCATTGCACGGAGAGAGAGAGAGAGGCACGTGTAGGCAGGGGAGAAGAAGAACGTCTGGAGCATGGACTGGGACAGGGGAAGGGAGTCTATGGGTCTCTGTGTGAGTGTCTCTATGGGTCTCTATGTGAGTGTATCTATGGGTCTCTGTGTGAGTGTATCTATGGGTCTCTATGTGAGTGTGTCTATGGGTCTCTATGTGAGTTTATCTATGGGTCTCTGTGTGAGTGTCTCTATGGGTCTCTATGTGAGTGTATCTATGGGTCTCTGTGTGAGTGTATCTATGGGTCTCTGTGTGAGTGTATCTATGGGTCTCTATGTGAGTGTATCTATGGGTCTCTGTGTGAGTGTATCTATGGGTCTCTGTGTGAGTGTATCTATGGGTCTCTGTGTGAGTTTATCTATGGGTCTCTATGTGAGTGTGTCTATGGGTCTCTGTGTGAGTTTATCTATGGGTCTCTGTGTGAGTGTCTCTATGGGTCTCTATGTGAGTGTATCTATGGGTCTCTGTGTGAGTGTATCTATGGGTCTCTGTGTGAGTGTATCTATGGGTCTCTATGTGAGTGTATCTATAGGTCTCTGTGTGAGTGTATCTATGGGTCTCTGTGTGAGTGTATCTATGGGTCTCTGTGTGAGTGTATCTATGGTCCGTGCTGATTGGTCACGGCGAGGGGTCAAGGGTCGGCACCTTTCTCGCGGTCGATCCATCGAATGCAGTGGCTGTAGGCCTCGGGCTGCAGCAGCAGCTCCTTGAGGAACTGCCAAAGGTGAATGCTCGCTGCAACACACCAACATCATCTCCATCGTCAACAGCATCACCACCATCATCAGCAGCATTAGCATCGCCATCATCAACATCACCATTCTCAAAAACATCACCATCATCACAATCATTATATCATCATCACCATTACATCATCCTCACCATCACAAAATAATTACTACAATTAATATCATTGCCATTATCACCATCACCTTCCACATCATCAACATCATTATCGCTATCATCACCCCGGTGGGTGAGTGAGTGGGGGGGGGGGGTATGGGGGTGTTGTTGAGAGATGCCCACAAGTCCCCCCTCCCCCTAGACCCCCACACCCGGCAGCTGAGACTCGCGCACAGATCCCCAGCTCCCCATCTCCCCATCTCCCCATCTCCCATCTCCCCAGCCCCCCAGCTCCCCAGCTCCCCATCTCCCCAGCCCCCCATCTCCCCAGCTCCCCAGCCCCCCATCTCCCCAGCTCCCCAGCCCCCCATCTCCCCATCTCCCCAGCTCCCCAGCCCCCCATCTCCCATCTCCCCAGCCCCCCAGCTCCCCATCTCCCCATCTCCCCAGCCCCCCATCTCCCCAAGCTCCCCAGCCCCCCCATCTCCCCATCTCCCCATCTCCCCATCTCCCCATCTCCCCATCTCCCCATCCCCCCATCTCCCCATCTCCCCATCTCCCCATCTCCCCATCTCCCCATCTCCCCATCTCCCCATCTCCCCATCTCCCCATCTCCCCATCTCCCATCCCCCCATCTCCCCATCTCCCCAGCCCCCCAGCTCCCCAGCTCCCCATCTCCCAAGATCCCCCTGACACTCCTCACGGCGCCTCCCCCGTGAGCACAAATCCCGCGCGCAAACACGATGCGGGGCTCGAGGTCGAGGCTCATTTCGGGAATCCCAGGGGGCTGGGGGGGGTCACGGTCAGCTGCTCGTGCCCCCCCCCCCCCCCGTGTCGAACAGATCGCAAAGAGAAGTGAACGTCGCGGTCACGGAGACTCCGGGAGTAGTCCGTTTCAAAGCAATTAGGGTTAAGGGTCAGGGTAGAGTTATAGTAGGGTTAGGATAGGTTTGAGGTTTTGGTAGTTTTAGGGTAGGCAGGGTCGACGGGCATAGGGCTGGGTTGAGGGTCTCCAAGAGAGGGGAGGTCAGGGAGAGTGGTTGGCTGCGAATTATTTTTTTAAAATAAAAAAATTTGCACTTTAGCGCTTGTCCCTCCATCCCCATCTCCCTCCCCATCTCCCTCCCCATCTCCCTCCCACCGTCTCCATCCCCATCTCCCTCCCCATCTCCCTCCCACCGTCTCCCTCCCCCGTCTCCCTCCCCATCTCCCTCCCCATCTCCATCCCCATCTCCCTCCCCATCTCCCTCCCATCGTCTCCCTCCCCGTCTCCCTCCCCGTCTCCCTCCCCATCTCCCTCCCCATCTCCCTCCCACCGTCTCCCTCACCCTATCTCCCTCCCCATCTCCCTCCCATCTCCTCCCACCGTCTCCCTCCCCCGTCTCCCTCCCCATCTCCCTCCCCATCTCCCTCCCCATCTTCCCTTTCCCATCTCCCTCCCATCTCCCTCCCCATCCCCCTCCCACCGATCTCCCTCCCCCGTTTCCCTCCCCAACTCCCTCCCCATCTCCCTCCCATCGTCTCCCCTCCCCGTCTCCCTCCCCGTCTCCCTCCCCATCTCCCTCCCCATCTCCCTCCCACCGTCTCCCTCACCCATCTCCCTACCCGTCTCCCTCCCCGTCTCCCTCCCTATCTCCCTCCCCATCTCCCTTCCCCCGTCTCCCTCCCCCATCTCACTCCCCATCTCCCTCCCCATCTCCCTCCCCATCTCCCTTTCCCCGTCTCCCTCCCCCATCTCACTCCCCATCTCCCTCCCCGTTTCCCTCCCCCATCTCCCTCCCGTCTCCCTCCCCCGCCTCCCGCGCGGTCGCACCGGTGTGGTTGGGAGTGATCATCGCGGGGCTGGGCAGCGCGCGGCCCAAGTCGAGGGGGGGTCCCATCCCAGGTCCCCCGGGGAAGCCGCCCTCCTCGCCTGGGCACAGAGGAGCAGGCGGGAGTCAGTACCTGCACGTCTCCACCGAGTCTCAAGACGATGCGTTTCAGGAGGACCCTTCACATTCCCGCACCTCCGATGAGCACGGTTGGCTAGGTACGGTGCGAAAGAAGTTAAACGTAGCAGCATAGGGCCATCTTTCTGCGTGTGTGATTTCTAATTTATAAATGGAGAAAACCCCGGCACTGACATCAGTGAGGGGCAGAGTGCGATCTGTCACCCAGCCACGTGCCCCACTCGCTCAGATTGATCGCTTTTGGTGGGGAGAAGAGAGAATTAAATGGAGCTCAGGAGTAATGATGTGATGCCATCTTCTCTGGCACAAGGTGGTGCACCCAGTGCTTAATTCATTAGCAAATATCTCCTCCGGGTCGCTGGTAGGGTGGAGGAAGTAGCACGTGACGAGTAGAGGAAGCGATAGCGAGATGCATCGTGGACGCGGTGTGCCGCGTAAGGACACTGGAGTGCACGGCTATGTGTTTCTCCCTGGGAAGACAAATGCGGTCTGTTGGGGGGGGGTGATTTCTTTTCCGCTCACCATGGGGTTGTGCATCGGGGTCCCAGGTGCCCCCCGCGGAGAGGGGGTTCCCAGCCCCGCCCCCCCCGAGGCTTTGGGGGGACTCGCCCCCGGGCAGGTCGGCCAGCCCCTGGAGGCCCAGGTCGGCGTCTGAGGGCCCCAGCTCCTCCGCCAAGTAGTCGAAGGCGCCTGCCGAGTCGGGGGGGGGGGGGGCACCAGGGGGTCAGGCACGGCCTATGCCCACTCTTCCGCGTTTTGTTCCACTTGCTTCGCTCACGGCCATGTTTCTGATCTCTGCCATGGCGGCGAGCACGCGTTCACTGCCGCGATTTACCTCCGCGGACAGACGCACGTGGGAAGACATTACAGACCCCATGCGTGTCTTCTTCCTTGTTTTAATTGATAACTGAACATTTCGCCGTCATGCCGGGAATCCACATCGAGACCAGGGGGGGAGGAGGAGGGGGAGGGGAAGGGGGTGAGCAGGTGGGTGAGGGGAGGGGATGCGCAGACCCATGACTGGGTCACCGCGCGGCAGAAGGCATGTCAACTCCAAGGGTCAAGTGGGGCCAGCTGCGGTTTGGCGACTTGGAAGCGGGTCCCGTGCTCGCGGCTCCAGGTTGAGGAGGCAACGAACTCCACCCCGGGTTTCAAGTCTCAGGTGATGACGTGTACAGGTAGCGTCAGTCATGATTGCGTTAATATATGATGCTGCTGATGATGATGCCGATGATGATGATCCTGATCATGTCGATGATGATGATCCTGATCATGTCGATGATGCTGATGTTGCCCCAGTGCTAGGCTCGGCCGCAAGCGCCCGTCCGCTGGAGACATTGTTGAGGATGAAGTAATAGCCAGCGTCTATGGGTCTCTGTGCGAGCCTATAAGTCTCTGTGTGAGTCTATGGGTCTCTATGCGAGTCTATGTATCTCTATGCGAGTCTATGTATCTCTGTGCGAGTCTATGGGTCTCTATGCGAGTCTATGTGTCTCCGTGCGAGTCTATGTGTCTCCGTGCGAGTCTATGTTTCTGTGAGAAGCGCTGACGGTGAAGCTATCGCCAGCACAGAGCAGTGCCTCAATAACTTCACCTGCACGCGCCCCCAGCTGAAACCAGACAACCCGGGGTGGAGCGTGTCGCCTCCTCGACCTGGAGCCAGTGACCGGCCCTGCGACCCCTACCCCGAGTTCCACTGCCTCCCTCACCCCTCCTTCCCCCGTCTCCCTCTCACCTGGAGCTCCCGTCGACAGGTACATCTGCCCCGGGGAGGAGTTGAATCGCGCGGCTGAAATTCACGGACAGAAGAAGGAATCAGGTCAGAGATGCAGCCCTTGTTTTGAGATAAACGAGCAGAGAAACAGACACGTTAAAGACACGTACAGACACGTAAAAGACACGTTACAGACACGTACCCACTCGCCTGGGCACGTGCACGCACAGAAACACACGGACATGTGCACATCAGGGCCGCCCAGAGGATTTGTTCATTCTTGATCCAAAAAATCAGGTCCATTGAGCGAGACGCGGGTAAATGCCCCCCCCCCCCCTTAGCCCCCCCCCGCCCCGCACCCATCTGGTGACCCTGTGCGCACTTCAACCATGGAGCGGTCTGCCACCGCTCACTTAGAAAACAGAGCCAAGTCACCCCCACACCCAACTCCCTCCCTGGGCTCCTCGGTGCGCCGCACACCCAGGCACCGAATCCAGGCAGAGCAAACACGCCCCTGAACCCCCACTCCCAGACACCTGCTCCACACTGCACACCCAACACACAGACTGCACACCCAACACACACACTGCACACCCAACACACACACTGCACATCCAACACACAGACTGCACATCCAACACACACCCAACACACACACACTGCACACCCAACACACACACTGCACACTCAACACACAGACTACACCCCCAACACACACACTACACACCCAACACACACACACTGCACACTCAACACACACACACTGCACACCCAACACACACACTGCACACTCAACACACAGACTACACCCCCAACACACACACTACACACCCAACACACACACACTGCACACTCAACACACACACTGCACGCCCTTCCCTATCTGCCCCCCTCAAACACCCATCCCATCTCGTGCCCCCCTTCTGCCCTCTCCCGCACGTCCATCCCATCCCGTGCCCCCCTGAGCCCCCCCCCCCCCACCGCGCACCCGAGCGCCAGACGTCGAGGTGCGCGTGGAGAAGTTCCCCGGCGCGCGACGCCCGCAGGCGGAAGTCTTCCTCGCTGAGCCGGCAGAGGCTCGCGCCGTCCATGCGCAGGAAGTCGAGGCACAGGGGCCCCAGGCCGTACTGGTGCACGCTCCACGCCAGCCACTTGTCCACGTGGCGGCACGACCACGACTCGGGGTCTGCCGTGGACAACAAGGCGAGGGGGCGAGAGACAAGACGCATCAGCGGGACGTGTGCGTGTACGGGAGAGTGGGAGAGAGAGCGCAGGGGGCGAGTGCGGAAGACGTTAGCGGCTCGTTGATTCTGGGGCCACGTTGCTTCGGTGTAGGGGAGTTAGCGATGGCTTCGGCCACGGCGACATCATCATGAGTCCTTGATCAGCGATGGGAGAAGTGCGAACAGCGGTGACGAAGGCAGATGTGTGTGGGTCACGCAATGGGACAATGCGACGAGACACACATGAGGGTTTAGCGATGTGAGATGTGTGGTTATCTCTCGATGGGCGATGTCTGTGTGTGTGTCACGTGGGGGGGGGGGGGGGGTCGCGCGCCGCACGCGCCGCGCGCGCTCTCCGCGAAGGACTCGGCGCGCGACTCCGCGGGGTTCAAAATCGATCATCGATCATCGGTGCTCGGCAGCAGCTGGCGAAGGACATCCCCCTACCCCCTCGCGTTTGTCCCTCTCATCACCCCCCTCTGCCCGCTCCCCGCAGAGAAGGAGATTGATATGTATTCAGAAAGCTATGAAGAACAGTAGAAGGGTGTGAGGAGGTAGAGGACGTGGCGGGGTATGATGATGATGACGAGGAGGAGGAGGGAGATGATGACGAGCAGGAGGGGTATGATGATGATGATGACGAGGAGGAGGAGGGGTATGATGATGATGATGACGAGGAGGTGTATGATGATGATGATCAGGAGGAGGGGTATGATGATGATGATGATGACGAGCAGGAGGGGTATGATGATGATGATGATGATCAGGAGGAGGGGTATGATGATGATGATGATGATCAGGAGGAGGGGTATGATGATGACGAGGAGGAGGAGTGGTATGATGATGATGATGATGATGATCAGGAGGAGGGGTATGATGATGATGACTAGCAGGAGGGGTATGATGATGATGACGAGGAGGAGGAGGGGTATGATGATGATGATTATGATCAGGAGGAGGGGTATGATGATGATGACGAGGAGGAGGAGGGGTATGATGATGATGCTGACCAGGAGGAGGGGTATGATGATGATGACGAGGAGGAGGAGGGATATGATGATGATGCTGACCAGGAGGAGGGGTATGATGATGATGAAGTGTATGAGGTGGAGGGAGATGATGTTGATGGATGCAAGGCGCATCGGCCCGCGCGTGTCGGCGCCTCTCCATCCCAGCCCAGATCTTTGCGCCGCCAGCGGAAAATGACACTCGCCCCCCCTCGCCCCTCCCCCCACCTCGTTAGCGCTGAGAGGCCGCTGGAGGGGAGAGGCGGGGGGTGTGGAGTGTCCCACCTGCCCACGAGGCCGGCCCCGCGCCTCCACATGTCCCCTCGAGTGGCCATCGTGGACACGTGTTCTCAGGAGAGGCCCTCACGGCCGCGCTCACAGACGCGCGCCGTGCGTAACCACCCCCTCCCCTCCCTCCCCGTCCTCCTCACTCCCCCTTCTCACTCCGCCTCCATCCCCTCCACGCGTTTCTCAGTAGCGTAGCGCGGTTGGCATGGGCCCCCCTGGTGCAAGGAATGAGATCCCGCACCCCACCGCCCTCCCTCTTCAATGTCGCTCCTCTCCGTAGCCCTGCGTCTCTGGCTCCCTCCGTCCCGTGGGTCCGGCGCAGTTGCACCGCCTGCGCACTCGAAAGCTTTGCTACTGCTCCTCCCCTCTCCCGTTCACTCTCCCTCCTCTACCCCCCCCCCCCCCCATCACTCTTCCCTCCCCCGCTGCATTTGCTGCCTCTCTCTCTCCCTCGCTCTCATCTCTCTCTACCCCCTCCCCTCCCTCTCCCCTCTCCTCGAGTCTCGCTCCGCTGGCCGTGAGGGCTCTCCTCTGCCGCAGCCCTCGCCCCCTCTCCACTCTCGTGTATTACACTTGTTTCGCTTTTGTGCGCCCAAATGTAGCTGCCTTTGTTGCTTGATTCGCTCGGCCCGTGGAGTGACCTCCCGCTCTCGAGAGCGAGCGGCGCGGCTCTCGCACAGAGCAGCAGCCGCCGCCGCTGGCTCTCGCCATCCAGTGAAGGAGTTGGTGGAATATTGGGTGCGGAAATGTTTCAACTTTCTTGGCGCGGTGGGGGGGGGGGTGAGTTTCTCCGACGGAATGCGATCAAAGGGCAGCGCTGCGTGCTCGGGTCAGGTCATGGATTGCAGGTGGCTGGCCGGTGCGTGGGTGGGTGTGTGGGTGGGTGGGTGTGGGTGGGCGAGTGGTGAAGTGTTCGGGGTTAGGGTCACGGTGAGGTCTTGGGGTAGGGTTAGAATTGCGGTCAGGGTTATAGGCAGGATTAGGGTTGAGGTTGGGGCAAGGTTAAAGGGGTCAGTGTTGGGGTTAGGGTTGAGGTCAAGATCAGGATTAGGGTTAGGAGCCCTGGAGAAACCCCACCACGCATGAGGGGATGCCACTAAAAGCTCCTCCGCTACGCAGACGGCAGCGGGAGCCTACTTGCTGTACCGCCATCTCCTATAACCGCCGCCTCACAGCCCAGCGAGTTCGCGAGTGTCACAGATCTCAGTGATGCACCACACGCCGCCTCCCAGGCGCTGAGTCACAGGAGCGTGTCACTGCCGCGCCCCTGGGACAGGCTGCCGTGAGTAGCGGCGAGTAGCGGTGAGTAGCGGTGAGTAGCGGCGACTAGCGGCGAGTAGAGGTGAGTAGCGGTGAGTAGCGGCGACTAGCGGCGAGTAGCGGTGAGTAGCGGTGAGTAGCGGCGACTAGCGGCGAGTAGAGGTGAGTAGCGGTGAGTAGCGGCGAGTAGCGGTGAGTAGCGGTGAGTAGCGGCGAGTAGCGGTGAGTAACGGGGTCCCCGTGCCAAGGATTGTAGCCCGCGACTCCCGCTGAGCCTGTGACTGCCAGTCGCGGTCTAGGTGGGTCGTGGCCTTCTTCGTCCTCATCTTCGTCGTGTTTCCTGTCCAACCCATCTCGTCTCTTCCCAATATTCTGCGCAGGCCGCCGCTTCTGGTGTTGGCATTGTGGTGCTGCAGGGATCTCAGGAGATGATCCATGGCTTTCTTCTCCTGACAAGCGCATTGTTCGGTCGCGCAGAATCCCCGTGATTTCACGAGAGAGTTGCATCTGCCGAAACCCACTCTCGGTCTGTTTAGGCTCCGCCATGTGAGCCGTTTGGAATCGTAGCCAGATGCGAGCTCCTCACGGGGGATGATTCCTCTCCGACGCCGTTCGTGGTGACAGGTCATGTGACAGTGCTGTTTGCCCTGTGGATATACTCGCCCCGCTATCTGAATGTGGAATGTCCATCACTGCGGACTGTAAACATAAACTGAGACGCTAAAGTCAACAAGGGGTGAGTGACCACTGACACTTGATTTTGACAGCTCGTAAGCCTTGCGAGAGACGGGTCACAGGTCAACTCAGAGACCACGAGCCTCTTCGGCCAAATACACGTGAAGCGGCGTTCGTCTCTATTGGGAGACCCGAAGCCAGTCGTGAAAATTCCACATTGCTATGGCAGAGTAGAACGCTTATGACGAAATCACTCGCAGTGGCCCCAGTCTCCTCTGTTGTCAGAAGCTAAGCAGGCGGGAGCCTGGGTAGCGCCTGGCCGGGTCACCAACCGGGTGCCATAGGCGGCTGCGGGGCTGGGCTGCGCAATGGCCGCCAAAGGTTCAGCTGAAGCCGATGTTGCGTCAAGTGGATGTTTGACCACAATTCGCAACTGTTGCCAGTGTGGAGGGCTGGTGAAGGAAGCGATGGGCCAACACCGGTCCAGACATCGCTCGCCGTCACCGGCAATCGAACCGAGTTCACAGCGCAGCGCGCGAGCCGCCGCTCCAACCGTGCCACGCAGACTGTCAAAGCTCAGAGGCCGATAGCGCGCCAGGCCCGCACTGACCGGCGTGGTGAAGTATGGTTAAACAACTCCCGTGGCCGACACGGCGTCGAGAGACCCTCATCCAGCAGTGGAGTGACGAATTCCGCTGAGTTCGTGGTGTTACCCGACAAACGACTGAACACTGCGACACAGCGAGGCGGGGTGGGGGTCTACCGAGATGTCTTAATTAGCGCTTAGAGATGAGAGAATCCTGTTGGCACAGCACATCCATCTCGCCTTCTCTTGACCGCACATCTAACGCCCTGTTTAATAAGATTGTCGGAATCCAGGTTGCCGCAATGTACTACCATTGCTATGGACAGGCACACTTTGTTCTAGTCTAGTGGTAGTGCCTTATGCCGACAAGCCCAACTCCAAGCCAGCCGAGCTGCAGCGTTCCAGAATATTCTCGAGTGAGAAATTAAGCCACGGGTAAGCTGCGGTGTCGGTGACGTCATCGAAGCCCCCCACCCCCCACTCCGCCCCCCTAAACTTAGACTTGGAAGCCAATCCGCTTAGACGAACTCGCCGCTAGGAAAAGCAAACAGCGCCGAAGAGTGTACTCGCGGACTCGGTTCAGCGGACGCGCCCGCCTGATTCCACACAAGCCCCCCCATCCATCACGCCGGGCTTACGGGGCGAGCGATGGCGTGGTCATTGTCATCGCGGCGATGCGCTGTGGAAAATAACTCCGAGTGGAATTGCGATTCAACGTTTCCAGCTGTGGCGCGCGACGAACGCCTCCGCACTGCCGCGCACCCGACGCGGTTGCAGCGGCCAGCGCCTCGTGTGGATACGAGGCGATGGAATGGATGCTCGGAAGCAGTTCTGTGAGGTCATCTTCCGCGAGCCGTTCTCTAACGGGGGGTGATGTGACGCCGAGAGGTTCACACGGAGTCCCCCCCCCCCCCCCCCCATCTTGTGATGCCGTCGGTACGGCAAGAGACTTCCTTTGCCCGCGTGTGAGCCGGTCAGTCGCGGCACTCGCCTTCAGCGACTGTCCCAGACACAAGTCCGAGCCGGCGTGCGCACTACCGATTATTGATGGCCTCGGTCAACATCTACTGGGCCTGCTGCGCGTATTGTCGCTCTCCAATTGGCCCAACCACTCCTCCAGCAGATCTGGGAACATGAATCCACGCTCTTACACGTTGATCATCGTAACCAGAGTGCGCATCTATGCAAGCTATCAACACCCCACCAAGTCCCCAGACTCGTGTGTCAGGAGGGTCCTGCGTTGTTGAGACGTTTGGCCCTTTCCACTCGTGCGTGACTTGATCGCTAACAACTGGAGAATATCGGAGTGATCCCGAGAAACCCCACAAACCTCAAGTGAAATGAATAATTCATCACTGTACATTCTGGTCACCACGTACTAACCAGGCTCAACGCGTGCTTCGCTTGACTCGTGTTGGCTCGTGTTGGGGATGAGTGGTCGACACGGAACGAACGGAGAGAGAGATTCGCCCCGCGCGTGGCCTCTGACCTGCGGGTACGTGGAGGAGCGAGCAGGCCACCTCGATGTCCTTGACCACCTCGCGGATGATGAGCGCCTGCATGTGTCCCATGCTCTTGTCCAGCTCTCCGAGGTCCAGCAGCGAAGCCGCCGAGTCGTGCAGCCCAAGCGACTGCGCTTCCAGCGGCTTTGCGGGGCCCCGGGGGTCCTCGTGCATGAGGCCCTGCGGGGACGCGAGCTGCATCTGGGGGGAGTCGTGGGACCCCAACGATCCCTGCAGCGCCGGCGGGGGGCACTGGAGGCCCCCGCGGAGGCCCGGCGAGGAGGCCCCCCCTCCGTAGGGCCCGTCGTGGAGCGGAGCGGGGGACTCTGCGGGGTCGTGGAGGCCCTGGCTGCAGGAGAAGGGCCCCCCGTGGTGCAGGAACGCCTCCATGTCGGCGAGGCCCGCGGGGTCGCCGCGCGCCACCAGCCCCTTGAGCTCCTCCTGCGGGCAGTGGAGGCGCCGGGCGTTAGCGAGCGCAGCAAACGCGCAGGGCTCCAAGCAGCTCAAGGGGAACTCTTCCGCACCCATGGAAACAAAACTATGGGTACAATGAGCGTGAGCTCGACAGTAGCTATCATGTGCAATCTTCATCTTGTCATAGTAATGTGGAATTCTCACTCAATACAGTCTCGGAGAAGTCATCGCCAGGCAGGGATGTGCGCGGTGGAGGAGAGTAAATGTCAGCACCCCCCCCCCCACCCGTGCCCCGCTACGCGAGCAGAGCAATCGCAACACCGCTCGATGGATTCCGAATTGTGTTCGCGGAGTGAGAGTGACTTTTCCTGCCCTCCTGCGTGAACGCCATTGCCGTTGGAGACGATTGAGACGCGGCGAGATTTTTCAAGAATTCGGACAAAAAAGCGACATTCGCCAAAGACCCATGAAACCGGGTCCTGCCACTTTCACCATCGTCACCACTGGTCATGACCAATCCACTGCTGGATGAAAGCTCTCACCGCAATTTGCCACGATTTCACTGTCATGTGATTTATACTCCATGGCTTCCAGTCGAGATCGCTGCACACTTACGTGACCAACTTAGATCAATTAGTGCCACGAGTCTCAGGTCTCACCACAGGAGTTCCCCGCGGGGGTCCACGGGGGTCCATCGCGATGGGGAGGGGAGTCCGAGGGGGTCCACAGGGGCCCGCATACCTGAAGCGGCGAGAGGGGCGCGGGGTCCGGGTACAGAGATCCCGGGTCGTCGCTGTCGCCGTTCATGAGACGCGGCGGAGTTTTTTTTGGGGGGGGGAGGCGGTGGTGGCGGGGGGGGGGGGCTTCTCTCCTCGCTGGGAAGGAGGGGCCGCCCGGGGGGGGGCACTTGGCCCGGTTGGCACACCCAGAGGAGCGCGTCAGGTCACTGTGGGGGTCACTGTGGGGGTCACTGTGGGTGAAGGGCAAGAGCGGTAAGTTAACCGCTCACATCGGACGCGTCTATCACAGAACACTGCGAGTATCATAATTCACAACTACCTATGATAATCAATAAACAATAGCGAAATAACGTACAGCTTTTTGTCAAGCCAAGGATCGATCAATTAAAATTATCCTCCACGCCGTGTCGGTCATGGAGGTTATTTGACCATACTTCACCACGCTGGCAAATGCGGGTTGCTAAGGAGTGGTGGCTCATGACCGATTCAGATATCAACAGGCCACTGATGTTAACCGTGGCTGAGAATCGAACTCTACATTCATGGCCAAGCGCGCTATGAATAAGCGCCGTACTCCGCTATAAGGGATTGTGGCTTTAACGATAATGGTGACCAAACATCATAACCACCATCATCATTGCCACCATCATCATCATCGTCCCACGCGTGAGGTCGCGACACAGGAGCGGAGCCTCACCGGGGTCACGCAGCGAAGGCCGCGTGAGTAGGTGCCCGGCCGGAGATGTCTCTGGTTGAGAAGATCCCACGGGTGGAGATGTCTTTGAGTGAAGAGGTCCCGCAGATGCTTTTTGATGAGATTATCACTCGAGTGAAGGTCTCTCTCATGCCGGAGGTGTATTGAGATGAGAAGCTGCCAGAGAAAGCGGTCTCTGGATGAGAAGGCGCGACAGCTGGGTGATTCTGTGGTTGAGATCGTCTCCCAGCTACGGACGTCTCTGGATGAGGCACTGAGTGACCTTCAACTGGAGACGCCTTGGACCGTCAACTTGTGGGTGGGGGAGGGGGGTGGAGGGGTCTGGATAGAGCGGAGGTAGCACAACTGTCGCTCTCTAGATGATAATAACGCCCCGAGCACTGGAGGAGTTTTTTAGAGGAGGAGGAGGTCCGCCAGTAGTCGGTGTCTCGGAGGCCGCGAGCTCTCGAGTGAACGGGAGTCGGGACACGGGCGCCCTGCTGCTGCTCTCGAGAGAGCGTGGCGGGGGCGGATCAATAGCGAGCCCGTCAACTCCTCTCGCGCAAACTTGACGCTCGGCTCAGGCACGGCACCTGTTTGTCATTTTGCTGAAATAACTTTTTTTGGGGGCTCAGCTCTGAGTGCCGTTTGTATTGATTTCGTGCATGACGCCCCAGCGGACAGATTACACCGCGGCTGTGCTGCGGGCACTTCAAACAGCGCCACTCCACATCGCCACGGCTGTAATCTCGCCCTATTATTGTCCCCGACGCGGCTAATGTAAGAGACCGCGAGAGTCCGCGGTCCTGGGGAACCTTGCCGCTCCACGCGAAGCCAAATGAAATATCGCCTCTGTGTCAACACGCGCGCTCCCAGGCTCCGGACGGCGGCGTGGGGACGTCGTGAATCGCGGCTCTCGGGCCGACGAGACCGGAGAGAGAGGGAGACGCCGCGTAGGGCGAGGGGGTTGTTGGTCTAGCGGACTCACCCCCCCCCCTCTGGGGGAGGCGCACTCGCCCCGCAGGTAGCCCCCCCCCTTCCCTCCACGAGAAAATCAACCACCTCCCCCCCACCTATTCTCACCTCCCTCCTTACCTGTCCCCCCGCCCCCAGTCCCCCGCGATGTGAAGTTTAAAGAGTAAATGTCGCGGGAGTGAATGCGTCACTGATGTCAAGACGCGTGTCGGGTCAGTGCAGCAGCGCTCGGCTGCGAGACCCCCCCCCTCTCTCTCTCCTGCACTCATCAACTGCAGCCCCCCTCCCCTCCAGCCCCTAGACCCCCCCCCCCCCCTCCGCAGTGTAGATGCCACTGCACACAAGAGCACAGGGATGCTGCTGCCACAGCGGTGTCATGGACAGCACGCTGGACTTGCTATCCAGAGGTGGCCCGGTCGATCTCCTGGCGCGCCAGTTGAGACATTGGTGCCAGTCTCTTGAATCTTCACCGCTGCTGTCCACCCATGAATGGGAACCACCGCAGTTGTTCTATCGGCAGGTCGCGTGTGGCGGGGTAGAGTGTGGGCGCTCCCGACTCTTCCAACAACACGCCTCGTCTGCCTGAAAGAGTCGGCCGAATTCCATCTGGTGCACGAAAATAAGCAACTGCGAAACGAGGGCAAATATACCACGCGGTAACGTTGGCCGCCATGCGGTTTGTACGTGGGCGCGTGCCGGTCAGCGCATGAGTTCCTGACGTCGTGATAGCCACGGACACGGTGTCGTGATTAGCGCTAAGAACCCAGCGATCCGAGTTCCAGTATTAGTGGCGAATATCTGAACCGATGCTGGGACTCCCCGAGGTCTACTCATCCTTAAATGAATACTCCGTGTGTCAACATCACCACTGGGAAGACAAAGGCGGCCGGGCTTGGTGTGTGCCTACTTACTCCCGTGTGTGCTGTTCTGGCCTTAATAGGTGCTCGCTAACAGCACTTGGCCCAACAGTCTGTTAAAAGCGAAATGGGGAAGATTGTCTCTGTGTTTGTTTTGTCTGTATGTATGCGTGTGTAAAAGTGTGTGCGTATTTGCATATGAATGCGTGTGTGTGCGTGTACGTTTGTATGTCTACGTGTGTGTATATTTGTACAAGCCTGCATGTCTATATGTATGTATGCATGCATAAATGCGTATGCATGAGTGCTATTGTGTGTATGAGTGTATTTATATCTTTGTCAGTGTATGAGTGGGTGTATCCATCTGTATGTGTGCGTGTGTGGTTATGTTTGCGCGTGTGTACTGGTGTGTAAGTGTGTGTGTCATCTCGGCCATCTCAGTCAGTCGACCCGTGGCACCTGGGTCTGCCCCGTGACCTCCTGCCAGCGGGCGTTCGACACTTGGCCTCAAGGTGCACATGGCCTGGCACAAGTGTCGTGGTGACGTCACCGCCACTTAGTGGAGAATGGCGGTTGTTGTGTGTGTGTGTCTATACGTCTATATATAGTGGGGAGCGGTAGTGTAGTGGTTAGCGCACTGCGCTATGAACCTAGCGACCCGGGTTCGATTCCCGCTCACGGCCAACACCAGTGACGATTAACTGAACCGGTCCCGGGCCCTCCCCTAGGTTAACTCAGCCGCAAATGAGTACCTGGTGCGATGTGTAAACTTCGCCACTAGGGAGACAAAGGCGGCCGGGCGTGGTGTGTTGGCTACCCACCCTCTCGTGTACCATTCCGGCCTTCGTAGGTGCTCGCTAACAGCACTTGCCCCTACAGTCTGTTAAGGCTATACGGGGGATCTGTATCTTTGTGTCTGTATATATATTTGTATATTTATTACGCATCTGTAACCTCTGCGCTTAACGGGGTGCAGTGGTTAGCACTGTGCGCTACGGACCCAAGCGGTCAGAGTTCGATTCCCGCTCACAGCCAACATCAGTGACGAGTGTCTGAGCTGGTCCTCTGCCTCGCATAGGTCGGCTCGGCCTTAAATTAAGACTTGCTACTTTGTGTTGCGTTTTGCGCATTGGGACCCTAGGGTGGACTGTGCGTTAGAAATTATTGTTATAATAATCATTATTATTGTTATTATGAGTATTACTATAATTATTATTGTTAAACGTCAGCACTGGAGAGACAAAGGCGGCCACGCGTGGTGCTGCCACCCACCGCCCCATGTGCTGTGCCAGCCTCCATCGGTGCTCACGAACAGCACTTGCCCCAAAAGCCTGTTAAAGGCTCCACGGGGAGGGGATCGTTGTCTTTGTCATGTTGTTGTTGTCGTTGTTGTTGTTGTTGTCGTGTGGAGTTCACCGCTACCGTGACACGAGGGGTCCCTGACCCCCCCCCCCCCGTCCGCCCCCCCACCCCGCCCCCCGCGTGTCGCTGCTGTTTGAGCCGCCGCGACCCCGGCTCGGGGTCACGGCGTCTCCACTCTGTCCCCAAACACAGCAAAGACGATGAGCAAGCACGGCGCGCACGCACCGGCCCTTCCTGTTCGCCCAGATTCTGGGGGACCCTCACGTGTATCTAGGGGGTCTCCAGGGGGTCTCCAGAGGGTCTCCAGGGGGTCTCCAGGGGGTCTCCAGGGGTCTATTGGATGTCCATCGGAAGTCTGTTGAGGTTCTGGTGGGGATCTCTCGCGGCTTGTCTCGGGGATTCAATCGGTGGGACGAGGAGGAGGAGGAAGATGAGGAGTCGAGGGGTAGTCAGGGGTCTTAACGGTCCGGATGACTTTCCCATCTCCCACCTCGTCTCGAACCTCGTCTCCCAAAACAACGACCCCTCCCCCACCACCGCAACACAGGGCAACGCGGTGTGCTCCTCGCACGGGTACACGTGGTGCGTGCACGCACGTGGCATAGTTGCACAGTGACGTGTCCGTATCGTGTGTACATCCACTGCTGGATAAGGGGCTCATTACTCTGCTTGAGTTGCCGGGGTTGATTGACCATACTTCACCACGCTGGGTCGAGTACACGTGGTTTATTCACGCAAGTCGTTACACGTGGAACACTCACGCGTGCGGGGTATACACCTCGAGGTACACGTGTACCGAACCACAACCCATGCGGTGTGTTGTTCACTCGTGTACACGCGGTGTATTCTCACATTCACGTGTAATAGTGTGCCAGTGTATTCACACGCCCGTGTACACGCGGTGTAATTCACTCTTCTCGCCGTGCTGAGAGCGACCTCCAACGAATAAAGTCGGAATGAGAAGCGAGGAGAGGTGAGGAGGGGAGGGGTGAGGAGGAGGGGTGAGCAGGAGAGGTGAGGAGGGGGGGTTATGAAGTTGCGGTGAGAAACAGTGGGCGTGGTTAGGGGTATTGGTAAAGCTGGGTTCTGATTGGCTGGCGTTGTTCGACTTCGACACACAGCTACGCAGGTTGCGCCTGTGTGGGTGTGACCACAGCTACGAGGCAGCGGCGTGCGGCTCGGACCCGACACCCGCACCAGGGCAGCGGGACCCTGGCTCCTCTGCGGATGACCAAGGTGGCAGAGCAGCCGCCCAAAGGCAGTGGCACCCACAAGGCCCGGGGTAGGAGCGGCTCCAGCGGGGGCGCCGCTCTGGCCAACACCGCCTGCCACGCGAAGTGGCATCACCGCATCGGGCCATGATGACATCGCCACCTTGAGGGGTTTGGTTGGCCCGTGTGGTTCGGGCTAAAGGTGGGGATGAAGCTGCCTGCCACTGGTTTACATTCCTCCAATGGGATTTCATACAAAAAAACAGCATCGCCCCCTACTGAGACAACTTGAGACTCAGAGTTGGGGGTGACCTGGCCCAGCGGTTTCGCGCTCGCCTCTTGTTGGAGAGATTCACGGTTTGATTACAGCGGCCGCGCTGATTAATACTGCGCGTGTATTAACGCTGCACTATTCTACGCTACATCTGCGTCAAGGCGGACGTTAAAAGATCCCATGATATTATGCGCAAGAGTAGGCCATTGTGTGCCGGCGTCATGGCCCAAATTAGAAGAAAAAAAATACCCGCAAATGTCTAAATTGAAATGCCACGGAGTAATGATCGCACCCTGTTGTGAAAACTCGACAGGACCCTTCACCTCACATGCGATGACAGCGATGCGCTCATGAACGTATCGCTCGAGGTCTGCTGGCCACGAGAAGGCTACAGGAGAGAGAGGGTTCGAGTCGTTTTGCTGTTCCTCCTCCGTTGAAGGAGGGCAGAAGACAGTGGTTTACCACGTGGTGCATCGTTTGGGTTGTATGGCCACAGTCGCACTCCCGTGGCTTGTATCTTTAATTTCACATTCATGGAGATTGGCGCAGGAGCCTGCCGATGTCCTGATGCAGTTGGCGGATCGAGTAGAGTGTCTTCGAGGAGGGGTTGTCAAAGCCCCGAGTGAGGTGTGTGTGTGTTTTAGTATTTTCTGGACGCTGGCCTCGTTCCACTCTGTTCGCCAAGGTGAGAGCAGCGCGATCTGAGACGGGGGCTCGGGACTTGAGTCGGCGGGCGTCGAGACGCATTGTGGAGGTGTTGGTTCACGATGGGTCGGTGGTTGCAGTCGGCAAGAACACGTGCGAACTCCCCTGGCGTGTGCGCGAAGTCTCTGCGGATATCTGGCGGCAGAACCGGGCGCTGGGGGTTGCCATCGGTGTCACGACCCACCTGCAGAACTACACCTGAGACTCAGTGAGGCTTTCCTGGGTAAACAAGCGGAGTGACACTACATGGGGTGAGGCCGGTGTGCAGGGTGAGGCCACTGTGCTCGCCCGTCACAGGGAGCTCCTCCTCACCCTGGTGCGAATCTCAGCAGAGCGAATACCCCCCTCCCCCTCTCCCCCCCTCTCTCCCCCCCTCTCTCTCCCCCTCTCTCCCTCTCCCCTCTCTCTCCCCCCCTCTCTCCCCCCTTCTCTTTTTTTTTACAAAAAACTTTTATTCACGCAAATACTACAGGAAAGAAAAACAACGGACTGCATCTGGCATATACAAAAAAACAACAAAACTTCTGTCGACAGCCATTGAAACCCAGATGTCTCCTTGACATTGCGCTCAACGTGCATCAAACACAACCAATCTTTTGGTTCTTTATTGTACATTATCCTGTATCCACACTCTCGGAATCGGATCGGATCCCTCGCCTTAATTTCATTGTCGGTATGGCACTCTCCACAAATGTAAATCATCGGTTGTTGCTTTGCTGGTTGTGCGTCCTTGTTAGAATCCATGTGACCAAGTCACGCACGCGCGGTCTCCCCCTCTTTTTTTTTTATAGGACAGGACCATTTATTACATTCTAATTGGAAACAAAGTGAAATTACAAACCATCACAAAAAGATGAATCAATTTGAGCTTCCACTCAGGGTCTTTTGGATAATGCACTGCACATCATATCAATGGCGCCTATTCATTGGGCTTTGTCACTTGCAGAAAGGTGTCCATCATCCAAGATGGCCACCATTGCCATCAAAACCAGCAGTTGCAGTATGTCAGCATTAGCTTTGGCAACATGTATGCATTAGCGAGAATTTTAAAAAATGAAGGTGCTCCATTTAGCGAGTAAGATTGAATTACTAAAACTGACAAGAATTATGAAGGCGTAGATACGGGACCCTTGTAAACGACTGCATTTTCCTTACTTGTAATTCCAGATGGTGTTAACACAACATACGGACTGGTCCTTTTTCCATGTCAGCAATGCCGCTTGATTCGACGCTATTGAACGTGGTGGGATAACTTCGGGGGCCGAGTTGGCAGAACGGTAAAAAGAAACGCGACCATTTTTGTGTAAGTTTTTTTACTCGGTGGGAGGCCAGGTGCTGCCACTGTCTGCTGAGCGACCGCCTCCTGTCTGCTGCTGCTGGGAAGCATCAATGGTGTCCTCGTCTTCCATCTCCAACTGTGCTGGCGTGTCCGCTTCATTGATGGGCTGCCCGTCGAACCGAAATCTTATCTGACGCATTTGCAGCCCCTGTCTGTCGCAGTTCGCCTTCACCAGCTCGGTCAGAGGAGTATGCCGCTTGATTTTAAACTGCACCACGGAGCCGTCCTGGCCCGCCACCTTCAGGTCGATGTGATCATTCTCCGTCTTCACTCCCTCCTTGGGTTTCTCGTCTCCCATGATTCGAATCGGCGGCGGCGGCTGTAGGCGGCTTGTGGCGCCCCCCCCCCCTCTCACCCCCCATCCCCCCCTCTCTCCCTCTCCCCCCTCTCTCCCCCTCTCCCCCTCTCTCCCTCTCCCCCCCCTCTCCCCCCCCCTCTCCCCCCCTCTCCCCCCCCTCTCCCCCCCCTCTCCCCCCCTCTCCCCCCCCTCTCCCCCCCTCTCTCCCCCCTCTCTCCCCTCTCTCCCTCTCTCCCCTCCCTCTCCCCCCTCTCCCCCCTCTCCTCCCTCTCCCCCTCTCCCCCTCTCCCCCTCTCCCCCCTCTCTCCCTCTCCCCCTCTCCCCCTCTCCCCCCTCTCCCCCTCTCCCCCTCTCCCCCTCTCTCCCTCTCTCCCTCTCTCCCTCTCCCCCCTCTCCTCCCTCTCCCCCCTCTCCCTCTCCCCCCTCTCTCCCCCTTTGCCTCTCCCCCCTCTCTCCCTCTCCCCTCTCCCCCCCTCTCCCCCTCTCCCCCTCTCCCCCTCTCTCCCTCTCTCCCTCTCTCCCTCTCCCCCCTCTCCTCCCTCTCCCCCCCTTTGCCTCTCCCCCCTCTCTCCCCCTTTGCCTCTCCCCCCTCTCTCCCTGTCCCCCTCTCACCCTCTCCCCCTCTCCCCCTCTCCCCCTCTCTCCCTCTCCCCCCTCTCTCCCTCTCTCCCTCTCCCCCCCTCTCCTCCCTCTCCCCCCTCTCCCTCTCCCCCCTCTCTCCCTCTCTCCCTCTCCCCCCTCTCTCCCTCTCCCCCTCTCCCCCCTCTCCCCCTCTCTCCCTCTCTCCCCGGTGCGCCGCAGAAGCAGCTGCGCGGCGTCCTCTGCTGGGCGCGGAGAGGAAATTCAAGGCGAGATTCATCAGGTCAGAGGTCAGGTCGGCGAGGGGCCAGGTGAGGGTCAAATTAATCAGAATAAGAATCTTTATTTAGACTGCGGGAGGAGGAATCCGATGAGCTATGCAGAAAGTTACAACAACAAAAATAGGTGCACTTTGAGGCCACGTGAAGTGTCGAAAGCCCGCTGGCAGCAGATCACGGAACAGACCCAAGTGCCATGGGTTGACTGGCTGAGATGACTGGCAGATGCACCAGCTGTGCTCCCCACTGTGCCAACTCGCTGTGTTCGCCAGGCGCTGCGCTCGTCTTGGTGAGCGTCGATCCTCTGCTGCTCGAAGGCGACTTTCCAGTTCCCCAGCAGCGTCCCTCACAAACCTCCTCCACAGAGGGCGATCGTGACACTGCCGATACCACTCCATAGGCTGCCCCTCCCACTCACACCCCTCCCACACCTGCCCGTCCCACCCCTGTCACTCACACATCTGCCCCTCCCACTCAACACACCTGCCCGTCCCACCCCTGTCACTCACACATCTGCCCCTCGCACTCAACACACCTGCCCGTCCCACACCTGTCACTCACACATCTGCCCCTCCCACTCAACACATCTGCCCCTCCCACATCTGTCACTCACCTGTCGTCAAATTCTCGCGAGGCGAGATCTCGCGCTGTGGG